TTTGTTCCATCCAGTTTGGATATTAGAGACAAACTTGGTAAATTGACCTGTGCCATCTTTCTCTGGATATTAAACTATAATTAATAAAAAAAAACACAGCTGTTTACAGTATTGTGTATCTACACTAACTCTCACTTTATATAAGCATGTTATATCCTGGTTAGTCTGACTGTGCAGCTGGGCCCATAACCAGTGTTAGGGATACACCCTAGCAGAATCTGCATGGCAGGCAGGCAGGCAGGCAAAATATGTGAGATAAATGGTTTGTAGCTTACACTCAGTAAAACAGATATACTGTGCTAGTTAAATAGTTTATTCCAGTAAGAGTTTTAGCATAGTCAAAATAGTCCATATATCATTCACTAGTTCAGTCCGTCTGGGGATTATTCAGTTGCAAAGTCCAGTGTCAAAAAAGAGGTCAGTAAACTTACACATATCAGTCCAGTAATATATCTCCTCGCAGTAGAGATATGAAGAAGTCAAACCTCCTTTCTTCCTTCAGCAACTCAGCAACACAGCAGTAGGGAAACACGCAGTTAGCAAACCATCAATCCAGCAAACCAGCAATCGTCAGCAATCCAGCAGGTTTTCTTGCTCCCTCTTATGGCGGTTTCACACCGCACCCAAAATTACATGCTTTGCAGTTTAAAGTGACACACACTTAAATTTACTATCATAGTTTATATATATTATTTTACCCAAACTATGTTAGGGAGCCTTGTTGTTCCTAACACAGTTTCCCCTTGTTTTCTGTTAGCGGGCAGACTTTCCTCCTGGGCTCAGCTGTAGTTTCAATTCCTGAGAAATGCTGGATCATAGCAAAAGACGGGACGTCCCTCTGGAGTTGAGCTCAGCCCCTGGCAACTTCCAGAATAGAAATATTAATTTCCGGCCATAACACAGAAGTATGTCCTGCCTCCCTCACCCGACACACATACAGGTTTCCAGGATGGTTTCCATTTCCTTAGTGTCCCAGATAGTGTCCCTGGGGTTTTGCTGGCGGTCTCCCACCCAAGGTCTCATTGAGTTGGACCCGGTTTATTCTTCTGAGAGGAATCAATATCTTCCAGGGCTGCCATCTTGTGGAGCATGAGGTCAGGTGGCTCTCAAGCTGAACCAATGACTCCATGGACACTTCCAGATAGTTTTATTCTGAGGTGGTTTTCCCTCTGGATCTCCTGACCGTCCCCCATCCAAACATTCCCCAAGTTTAACTTGGTTTAGCTGTTCTAGATCAACCAAGATGGAGGGAGAGATGGAGAGGGAGATATTCCCTTTGGTCTGATCCTTAAAACCTCAACACTTTGCTCTCTGACTTGGGCCCTGGAGAGCCCAATCCCCTTCCTCGGTTGGCCAACGTGGCTTCTCTTTCATTCCAGAAGTACATGTGGGAGTGGACAGACAGATCTAGAACTGATTTCCTGCTCTGGAGGAAAGATCAGCCCGATCATTCCACTAACAATGAATTCTGTGTCGAGATTGTGAGCTTTACAGGTAAGCCGAGATGGGGGTGAGATGGTTGAGGTGCAATTCCAACTATGAGGACCCATTGGATCCATCTTGGAACACTTTACTCCTTGGCAACAGGTTTGTTTGTTGGTCTAAAAGTAGCATAAGGGTCATATCAAAATTATACTAACATGGAGCATTAAAACCCAACCAAAACCTGGCACCAAGTCAGGTTTCTGATTTGAAATCAGCCCACCTTGGGGAAAACGCCAGGCCTTTCAAGATTCTACTACCCAGCCCGAGTTCAACTCCAAGGGAAGCCAAGTGATTTTATCTCACAGAGGCCAAGAGCGTTCCTCATAGTGACTGTCTAAGGGCTCCCCCAGTTCCTGCTTACCTGGGAGGCACCTGGTTACCTGAAAGAGGGCTGCTGGATGATGCAATGAGGGTGTCTAGCTGGCCTCACTTTTTGCCTTCCTCCAGTTCTGCTCTAGACGTCTCCTGTGTGGTTTCATTCCTCCGAGGCGCGTGGTGAATCATGGTTTATCCCTTGGATCATTCAGCTGTCCCAGGGTACATTCTGTACAGTTGAGGGAACACAAAACGTTATTTATGGGACAAATAATTAAAAATGGAAGCCTCCCTTCCTTCATAAGACTGTGAAGTGTTATAACATGAGACTTCATGTACGCGGGAAAATATCTACAGACCCCTCCTACTCTGGCTATAAACTGCTTCCCACGTCTTCCCTCGGGATGCTGCTAGGGGGCATTGCATATAAAAACAACTGGACAGTTTCTTCCCCTGTGCCATCACTCTGCGGAAGACCTAATTCCCACAGTACTGATTATGCCGAAAGGTATTTCCACAGCTGATAAGCTGCATCGCTACAGTATTATCCTTCTCATCTGCTCAACCTCCCCATTTTCTCAATTTTCCTACTACTTTCTCCCATTGTTATCTCTGATTTACTTCTTGTTATATATTACAATTAATGACTGTAACTATGATCTATTACATATGACATGTCACTTTCTTGTTTATATGTGCACTTAGAGATTATGCACCTGGAGACAAATTCCTTGTGTCCAATCACACTTGGCCAATAAAGAATTCTCTTGTCTTGTCTTGTCTTGTCTTGTCTTGTCTTGTCTTGTCTTGTCTTGTCTTGTCTTGTCTTCTCTTCTCTTCTCTTCTCTTCTCTTCTCTTCCCTTCGATTGATTCTATTCTATTCTATTCTATCTCTAATCTATCTATCTATCTATCTATCTATCTATCTATCTATCTATCTATATCTATCTATCTATCTATCTATCTATCTATCTATCTATCTACATCC